GGTCAGATGAAAGTGGGATTAGGGTTGGCATAGGGTCAGATGAAAGTGGGATTAGGGTTGGCATAGGGTCAGATGCTCTTTACTTTCTTTTGACAAACTGTCTTTGTTTCAGATATTTGCACTTCTCAATTTTTTGGCAGAGAGTTTTATATTTTCTTATATTGGACTTGCTGTATTTACGTTTGAAAATCATCAATGGAAACCTGGCTTTATTGGTGTTTCATTTGTATCCTTATTAAACATTTACGTGTTCAGTCATTTACTTGTTGGCATAGGGTCAGATGCTCTTTACTTTCTTTTGACAAACTGTCTTTGTTTCAGATATTTGCACTTCTCAATTTTTTGGCAGAGAGTTTTATATTTTCTTATATTGGACTTGCTGTATTTACGTTTGAAAATCATCAATGGAAACCTGGCTTTATTGGTGTTTCATTTGTATCCTTATTAAACATTTACGTGTTCAGTCATTTACTTATTTATTCATCCACCCATCTGACCATCCATCCATCCATTCTTTCTTTCATTTATCAGACAAATATCTGTTGGTAAATATAATCCTTGACAATGTAAGATTGGAATACTGCTGGGTCGTCTGCTGAACATATACCCTCTATCATTTTTATTAAATCTGAAGCGACATAGAAAGATATCTTACAACTTGCAGCACATGATGATGTTTGCAGGTATCTAAACTTGATACTTTTCGTGATCACATTGATGCAATATTATAAAAATCTTACTCATTCAACCATCAATTGAATAGCTTTGATTTCATATTGCAAAAAAAACAAAAAAAACAAACAAAAAAAACATCAAAAAATAGCAATGATTAACAAACAAATAATGGTATATTTTAAACAAAATGCTACTGGAATAATTTATTAGCAGAGTAATTCGGCTAAGTGTATTCAATTCTTGGAATCTTCATTTTAAAGCAGAGAAGATAAAGGTAGATATATTTAATAATTGTTTGTTATTATAGGTTTACGTGGTGCAGTAGCCTTTGCTTTAGCTATGAGAAACACAGAGTCAGTACCTCGGCAGCTGATGCTMACTACTGTACTAGTCATTGTACTTGTAACTGTAATAATTAATGGAGGATCAACACTGTCAGTTTTATCATACCTCAAGATAAGGTAACGGAAGTAAATCAAGATAGGACATTGGATGATATGAAATATAATGATTTATAAATGGTTAAATGATGAGATGATYATTGACAGATGTGATAGTGATTGACAGATGTGATGGTGATGATAGACACATATGATGACTTGTAGATATGATTATGATTGACAGTTCTGATGATTGGCAGTTATGATGATGATCCACAGATATGATGATTAAGTGATGGCTTTCAATGATGATTATTATTGTTATTGGGATGATGGGTGTCATTACAATGTTATAAGTGCAGTAAAAGGTTATTTAAAAACATCATGATAAGTGGTAGTGATAGTTTATAATAATTTATGTTGTGAACTAATCCCTTCTTTTCTGTCCTAAAGAGTTGGTGTGGATTCAGAAGAGGAAGACAAACCCAAGTTTATACCGGTTGGAACTGTAGGTTCTATATTTGGGAGGCTGTCTGCTTTGTGTTGGCATAAGCTGCTAAACTATTAAGAACATGTATAATAAACCCTTTACAAGGCCTTTTCCGTAAAAAAAAGAAATCGTCCTTACTTATCTGCTGGTCTCTAAATTTTAATAAATAGTAATGATGAATAAATAACAAACAATAATAAGATAAATAATAAGTCATTATAATCTAATGACAAGTTAATATGATAAATAATGTTTTATCATAAGCAATTGTRAAGCAACACTTTGGTAATGTAAACAATATTTAAAACAAAATTGATAAAAATTACGCTAATTAATAGCAATATTACAACAATCAAAAAGATAAGAATTAAGAGAATGCAATAAGAATATCATGGTATTTTAACAGGCAAAGCTAGATTAAATTGATAAGTTAAAAGCAAAAACCCTCAAATATTTACATTTCATTATCATCTATGAATTTATTATTGCTAATTAGATACCAGACTTMTGCTATAGGCATCTTWAAAAAAARTCACTTCCTCATTTTCAGTGGTTCMTGACTGAAATAAGATTATATATAAATTGATTTAAATCAAGCTTATGGTTTGACCAATGCYTGACATCCTCCCTACCCACACTAAGCGATCGTCTAATTATTATTTCTAATTATTAATAGATATAAATAACTTATCCTTGATTTAATCACTGACACCCTTTCGATTCAACAACTTTTTTGATACTTTCCTCTAATTATTTCTCCATTCAAATGAAAGGAGAGATTATCTCACGTAARATACTGGTTATGACTTCCTTGCATGTTAATTTGGAATTTGATTAATAATGATCCCTTGTATGATCTATTTTATGATCCCTTTTATAGCATGATTTGCATAGAACTATATAAAACCTCCGATAATGTTGACTTACAATCTATATTTTTAACACATACGCATTTCATTTTTTTTTTTTACTCGTCTGGGTAAGGTATTGTTCTTGGGAACATCGGTGCTTTCTGGTGTGATTGGCTTATAAGCAGTACTTTTATCGTCTTTTTTCCTTTTTGTAATAATATTCAGCTRATATGAAAGCACTGATTACCTCAAGAGCATTTGAATAATCTTAGATTGACCTTATTGTTTTTGTGATCAACAGGACGAAAATGACCCTGGAGACRTAAGACAACAAACATCTCACTATGAAAGAGCATGGATATTTAGAATTTGGTACGATTTTGATATCAAATATCCTTTTAAGCTTACACTTGATGAAGAATTAATATTTTTAAAACATGCAGTTCTGTGATTGAAACGTTTTAAACTAGATAAAACTGAAAGAAACTCACAAAAAAGGCCAAGCATATTTAGAGCTGCATAAATGMCTTTAAACTTACGAAAAAGGCAGACGCTGTAGGGTTGGTTCTAGTTGCGCAATTCAGTTATAAGATTTCTTAACTATTTGTACGTATATGAAGCCATTATTTACTGGTATTGGCCCACCTTTAAAAGATGTTTTACCTGCGTGTTGRGAACCATTTGCCAACTGCTTGGATAGAAGAAGAACACAGGAACAACCCCAGGTATTCAGTGTTTATTGTATGCTCAATAAGGGAGGATAGAAAAGGTGGGGATATGAGTCTATTCACAAGCTGATGATTCATGAGATCCTCCATTCTGATTGGTTTTCTAACGTCAAGTTATTAGTGATAGTCCTAAGTTAAGAAATCGTACTTTTTAATGTAAGAACTGGCAGTTGCTTCTATTATAGTTATACCATTCTGATTGGCTTTCTAACGTCAAGAGTCCTAAATTGAGAATTCGTACTTTTTACAGTAAGAACTGGCAGTTGCTTCTATTATAGTTATGCCATCATCACTGCTGGTTTCTCCCGATATATTAACGAATATAACAATTCTCGTTGTCGTGAACAAATGAAAAAGGGACGTCTGTTTTCCGGTTATAATCGTGGTATTTATTGCTTTCATTTTAGAAGCAAGAAGGAGAATTAAGTAGCGATGAGGACTTGGTAAACGTTGATGGTGAGCTGTCCTTTCGTAGAAATGAAGAAATCATGATTCGRCCTTCAAGCGACAGTTTTGTTGCTCAAAATGACGCCGAATCTGGAGACCTAGGGTTAGGGACCGTTGGACCACCGGKAGTATAATATCAATTACAATAGGTGCATGCAATAAAGCCACAAGTTTGACGTAGTACTAATAGAGCAAAATACTGCTAAGAAACAAAAACRAATAGTGCAAAACCAATGCTTATTTAAAAATAAAAGAGTATTTTTATAAGGGCATTTACTCAGTGTAAGCACTCTTAAAATATATATTCGTAGAATATTCAATATGGAACTTACAGTATAAAGAGTCCAAAGTAAGTACGACCTGTAGAAAGTACCGTTAAAAGAACTATGTACATAACAAACTACGATAACAAATAATCATAGTTAACAACTACGAATATTGGGTTGGCTGTGGTATGAGCACAGGGAGCCAGAATGTATTATGTTTAAATTTCATGAGTATAGTTAGTTTTGTACAATTATAAATTCCCYGTTTAATGRCGTTAACYGTTTGCATGCCGATGARTGTGAAACCATTGTAAGATATATGCTCAGATACACGCTTCTGAAACAGCTTAATTTTCACGAGTTTTGAGTTTCTGCTGTGCACCTGTTGTGATTTYACAACGGCMTCTCTTGCGCAAAAACCTTTACAGTAAGCTAAAGAAGCACGTGAAAATGTCGTTCTTACGATAGCCTTGAAAATTTGCATTTTCTTCGAGTTGAGACTAACCCTGTATTRCCATAGGGTCAGCCTCAACTATTGTACTTACAACATTTTCTCGTGCTTTCTTTTGCGTTTTTGCGTAAGAGAATCTGCTGTCAAAAAGTGAGCTTAGCAACGCTTCCCGAAACGCCCGCGCAACTTGGAAATGGTCAAAWRSSCRRKAAAA